AACAGTTTGAAAAGCCCTTGGAGACTTTTTTTTAGATTTTAGACAAAATAGTTCATTTGTCAGGACTTCCCTTGTAGATAGGGTCTCAGTTATTAAGAACTGCCTCACTAACTCATGATAACAAAAGCAAGTGCAGAGGACAGCTGCTGGACTGCTTGTTGGTAAGAGCAACTCTTTTAGTTATCTCAGGATTTTTATGAATATCTGAAAAGAATAAAATAGGGAATGTTTTGGATACAAGTTTGTAAGTTTATTTACTTGCATATTTTAAGCAGACAAATGATGACAGAGCATAAACATATGTAACACTAATAATTTTTTTTATGTGTATCCATACATGGATTTTACTAGACTTGAGCTGTCAAAATTGTATTTTCATCTGAGAAACTTGGTATTTGAATTACCCAGTGACTGCAGGAGATCGCAAAAGTTTCTTCTTTTGTAGCTGTAGTCTTTCCAGACCTTGGAATTTCTCTCTTGATATGATGAAACTTCCAGTTAAACTGGGAAACTGGAAGAATAAACCGGTGGTGACAACATATGTATGCTAAAGTAGAACTAGTTTTTAAGGATTATGGACTTGGGAGAAATGTTGAGGAGAACAGAAGGAAGATCTCTTTGCTTCCCACCCCCCAAATCAAACTTGAAGGATAAAATTTGCACTGAAGTAGTTTGTTAATTATGCCAACTATTAGAAAACTGACTTCAGATAACCTAGTAGTCCTTCAAAAGTGTGGTTTGCAGAACTCTTCAGGCATACTGCTTGAGACCTACTATAGTTCTTTAACAACATTTTCCTTAATAAAAATGCCATGAGTTCACTTGCACCTTTTATATTGTTGCTACAAATGTTCATTGCCTATAAATATTTCGGTAGAACTGCTTGGTATCCTGGTTGTTTAGTCAGGATAGATCAGCAAATAGATATTGGTGTAGCAATTCAGAAATGGTGCAACATTTTCTTCACTGTGGGGGATGCATGTAGTTTTAAGGTCTGTACGCTGCTGTTAATTTCTTCACTGATCCAATTTGTGATCTACTTTAGCTCCAAAATAATAACTTAAATCTGAAATTGCAGGTGCTGTCCTACTCATAGCTCCATACTCTTCAGGACAGAGGCAAATAGCAATGCAGTTTAACTTAATTTTAATATACCTTTTCTTTTTTTAACAAAGTTGCAGATCTACCGTTTAAGCTTGTGATGCAAATGTATGCTCTTGGAAGTATTTTCACTTCAGACACTGTTCAGCTGATCGCTATACCATTTGTTAAATTTATACCTATGTCCTAAAATGTTGCGATTTCATTCTCTTAGTCTCAGCAGCAAACAGCATTTCTTTTACAGACTTTTTTGATACTTCCTACTTTTCTGACTCTAGAATATGCTTAGCTATACAATAGTAGCTCAGTGAGTAAAAATTATGTAAGTGGAGCGACAGTGACTTTCACCATTTCCATTGTTTTTGGCCCCTTTCTTTAAATAGTGCTTTTTGGTTGCTATTTTCAGTTTGTTAAAGGGGTAGAGGACTTCTCTAGCTATTCGCTCCAGGGAGCTTGTGCCGGAGAGAGGCTGAGTGGCAGCCCTTGCATCAGAGGCACTTTGTATTTGAATATTTCTGAGTCTACGTTGCTTCTCCTGAGTGGATTTCAACCTCACTTCAATTCGAGTACTAGTAAAATGTCATACTCCCTTGTAGTCTGAAAAGTCCCAGGCTTATATTTAAATATTGAATTAACTGTTTAAAGTATTGAAATGTTTAATTTCCTACCATATTATAGAAGGAAGGAAGTAAAGATGAAATGCAGATTGCTAAAGTCTCTTCTGAATTGGCGAGATGCTGCTACTTCTTTCTTCAGTCTGACCCAGCAGCCTGAAGTCACCTCCAAAGAGGGCAACCCTGTGGAGCCCATGGTGGTGGTGTTCGACCCCAACTTTCAGCAGGGCAGTGAGAAGCAAAACCAAAGCAGTTACGTGTTTGAACTCTTGATGATGTGCCAAAAGTGATAAGATTGGAGAAAGAGTGCTGTTCTTCGTTGCTGAATAGTAATGATTTTCATGACCCATCAGCTAAGAAAAGATCTTTAATGTTTTCTAAGTTTAGAGATTTGAATTTGAGTTTAATATGGAAAATTACAGTATGTGAAATATTGAGAACGTGTGTGTTAGTTGAAGGTTGCTCAGTAAATGAGTCTGTATAAAATAATGCAGATGGAGCTAATGATGTGAGTCAAAAATAGCCTCCTAATGCTTCTTGTGTATTCCCTGTGTGACTCTACCCAGCTGTTCAAAGAACTCATCGAATCGCAGGAATTATTGCCAGTGCTCTCAGTGCTCAGATTTCCCTTCATGCTTCTTCAGACCAAAGACTTGACGCCCCTTCCTAGCTGTGGAACAGCCCTAAAATAAAGCAATTGCACTTCTCTCTCGTGCTGCCACGGTGTCCTTTAAGGTGCCTGTTCTGACATGCTGGCCATATGGAAATCTCAGTTGAGATTTACTGATCTTGAAGCTGTTTGCATTTATTTTGCCACCTGATGCTTTCCTGTGTCAAGTACAGTTGTTGCTAGATATGTTCATCAAGATTGGAGTTTTGCCTGCAGGCACTGTTTTTGATGTTGCAGTACACTATAGCAGGGAAATGTGTGTTTGTTTAAGAGCAGGCTAGTTCAAGTATGATAAATCTAATAATTCCCTCATGGAGCTGTGAACTCTATTAGAAGTGTAATTTTGTAAATACACAAAACTTTCTCTGGCTGCATGGCTTCTTGATTGAAAATGTGATTTGTACGGTGTACATAAAGTAGTTTGATGTTATTAGTGCAGAGATAGTTCTAGGAGCTTTCTTAGCAATTCTGTGTAGGTTTAGGGCAGATTTTAACTGGTGTCATTCATCTCTCTCTCTCTCTCCCCCCCCCCCCCCCCCCAGGATAAAAAGCTATTTAGTGAAGAAAAGTGGCAATTTAAACAAAAATATGTTTTAGAACTTGCATGACTTGTGTAACAGATAAAGAAGTATCAGTGGTGCACACCTTTTCACTTTATTTCCAAATTAATCTGCAGTAAGAAAGGTGTTCATAGTTCAATATTGGATGGTAATAGAAAATTTTCAGCTTAACAAAGCAAGGAGTGTGTGAGCTGATGTTTCTGTCAAAGGAGACAGTTGTTGCCAAATGAGCTTCCTTCCATACAGAACAAAATACAAACTGTATCAAGCACTCAACTTACGAAGTGCTGATTTGTTTTTCACCTGTGACTGAACCCTGTGTTGTGAGGCAGTTCTGTGCTTCGAGTGTGTGTTTCTTCCACTAGGACCTTGTTCAGCAGTGGGAATAGATTTCTGAGGAGACCCAGATTTGGGCAGCAAAAGAAACCTTTTATGTTGGGTTCCTGCTTCATTTATTGGCTTAATTGGAAAGGAGGTGGTAGCTTGCAGAAAACGTGCAAGGATGTGATGATGTTGATAAACTGCAGGAGTTTGGAGGAAGGACTCTTTGAAGTTGGCATTGCTGCTGAATGTAAGTGCATGGGTTCAGGGGCTGGCTTTGAGAGGATCTGACTTGGAGTCTGGTGATTTGATTTGTGAAAATGTTGGGGAGTTAATGACAGCAAAGAACTTGATAATGTTCTGCTTTTATCATCATGCTACCTAATACTAAGTATTTTAAATAGTGGCATCCTACTCTTCAATGGACAGCTGAGGTTGAAGTTAGGTGGATGGCTTTCATCTTTTTTTTTTGTTTGGTTTTTTTTGGTAACAGCCTTCTGTCTGAAAAATGGCAATTACAATAACTACTTGTGCTATGACAGTGAATTGTTAATACTTGAGGACTCCTTATATGCTGTGGTAGTAAGTGCTGTCTTCCGAGAGATTTATATATGTACAGTAAATAAATCAAAGGCTGTACGATGTCAGTGCAGAGAATGATAGTTAATCCGTGGCTTGGCAGGTGAGCACTGGCTATTCAGTGGTTTTAACTATGGTAGGTAGTCCTGTGGAAATATGATATGGGTGCATTAATTATAAATTGTGTACAATTAACACGTACAGGAGTGCCCAAATGAAGGTTAGCAGCAGTTTTAATTTAAAAAATGTAGCTTTTTGACTTGGTATCTTTGATTTTTCTTTGTTTATGTGATGTTGAAACTTCTGATGAGCCTCATAGTATGTTGTAGCCTTTTGTTTGTAGTTCTTCCCTTTTGGAATAGGGATCTGTGTGCACTATGTCTCATAGACAGCTTCATATTTTTTCATGCCTTTCCCTATTCACGAAACTTGTGATTGTAATCTCTCCTCAAAGCAACCCTCAAGATTTGCAACTATGGGAGATTTACAATAAGAAATTAACCCATTGATACAAATTGAATGGTAAAATAATTGGAAAGAAGGGAAAAGACTAACTGGCCATTAAACATGTCTTGATTTAGAAATATTAAACTGTGGACTAAACTTATTTTAGCATGTACTTTTTCTGCTCAGATGAGAAATGCACGTCTCAGGTACAATGCCATTCCTTTTGAAGGATAGCCTGGCTTCTGAAAGCATCTGGTTGGAGCTATTACATATAGAATGATAGAAATGTGTAATCTTGACCTATTTGTAAGCTTTTTTTACAGGATTAATTTACGTTTCCATTGTGAAGTTTGTAGAACGTACCAAAACCTGCTTGCTGCATGTGGAGTGTAACCAATTTAAATTGGTACAAGCTCTTTTCCCTGCTTCAAAGCCCACTGTTTCTGCAGTATTTCACTTGTATTCATCCAGTGTTCAATCTTAAAGCTTTACTAGAGCTTCTTGTGTTGTTACTACTGGAAACTAGTAACAGTGCAAATTTAAGATCTATATTAATATGTTGTCAGTCAGTGTGTTTTATGTGTATGCCCTTACAGAAAATAACCCAATACTTAGGTATAAAATCAGTAATGTTGCTTCAGTTCTTGATTCTTTTCTTGTTAAAGGTCTTCCATATCTCAAGTCGAGAAGTTCCATATCATACTAAACATGGAGAAAGAAGAAAAGAAATTTGTCAATAAAGCAGAGGAAGATGAGATGGTAATGAATTCTGTTCGTCTGTTTTTATACAGTGAAAGAAACACATTTTCATGGTTTTCTCTCTAAGTGGGGCATATCACATCAGGAAGTAGACTGTCTCAGTTTAAATCAGTTTAGCAATTTTATAAGGTTATCTTTGACAATCTTTTTTGGTATTAAGAAGTCTAGTCTTGGGATAGGGAATATTTTTGTTGAAAGCCTTTGCAAAGGTGGTGGGTTGGCTACATTGAGGTCAGTAGTACAATAGATAACAGATTTTGGTACTTACCAACATTTTTTTTTTTTTTTTTTAAAGGAAAATGGAAGCAAAGTGGGTTATGGGTGGTGGTTTGTTTGTGTGGTTTTTTATTTTTTCTCTTCTTCAAATCCTGGAGCTTTTTTCCTTGCCATTTAAAACAGGTTAATGCTCCATAATCTGACTGTACTCTGCATACTCTTGCATATTCATATTTATGCAGATAAGACCCACTCCCTAAAGCATGGCAAGCAGTTTTAAGGGTATTTGGTAGCACATAAACTTTGCTTCCTTCTGGAGCAATGATCTCTCTTCTTGTTTGTCCTGGAAGACTCAGTGGTTAGCTTTGACAGGCAAATAGTGGCAGCTGATCTTTAAATTTCTAGCCCATTCTAGAGACAGCAGAAACTATTTGGGGTATATAAAGATTTTTGTTTTAAAAAATGGTAGATTCCTGTGAACTGAAGCCCTTGTTCCGTCTTTGTGCACGCTGCTAGGAAAAGCTGCTCTTCACTAGACCAGCTCTAATACAGAGAGTAGGCAAGTGCACCTTGAAACTGAGATGCTTATGGTTTGATTACCAAAATAAATGGTTTTCAGAGGAAATAATTTTGTTTTGTCCCAAAAGAAGCATTAACCTCTCCTGCTATCTTTCACCCACCTGTTTTTGTTGGTAAGGAGTGAATACTGGCTCCAGTGTTTTGGGGGTAATGGAGAATGGGTTTTGTCTCTGCTTTTTGTCAGCTGAGAAGGCTGCAAAACAAACCTGTTGAAAAGCCTTTTTTTAGGAAAGGAGTTTAAACAATTTCTAATACTGTTTAATGAAAAGCACAAAAAATTTGCAAAAAGTTGGTGTCGATATGAACAATGTGGGTGGGACTCAATGGGAAACTTCATTGCCCTTTTCCAGCATGAAACGTAATCTGATGATGTAATGTGAAACTCAGGAGTGTAAGATCTGCTAAGTCCCTGAATTATTTTCTGTTACTGGCTGTCATCAGGTTAAGTTGGTACTTGCCTTTGACCAAGGCACACTTAATACTTTGTGGGTTTTTTTTTTTTTTTTTTAATGGGAGAAGAGGATTTTTCCAGCTGGTACAAGTTACAGAACCTTTGACAGTGTGGCTTGCAGTTTCTAATGTTTCATGGTAGCATTTCTTATTAAATGGCAGGCAAAATGTGCCAGTTTCTGTACTAAAAAGTTGTGTTTGATAAATATATTTACAGGCTTGTTTAGAAAGTATGAAATTCAGCTAGCACTAGTAATTCGAAACTATGTATGCTAGCTAATCAAATGCTAATGTCGTAAAATCAGCATTTGACAAACACACATATGTTTTTGCTCTTAAATGTGTAGCTGACTTGTGCTGTGTCATGGTCAAAAATTCGGTTGTTCACTGCGAATTAAGGCAGGTGGTGTTGCAGCCTCAGTCCTTGGGGAGCAGTGCAGGGAGGAGACGGGTCCTGCAATGAAATGTTTTAAACAATGTGGATGTTCTGCCTTTGTCAGGCTTTTACTGATGTATGTATTTCTGACCGAGCAAAACAGTGTTCCTTTTTGTTGCCACTCCATCACGTATTAACTTTTTAAAATCTTTCCCTCCCCCAGAAAAGAAAAAGGAGAAAATGGCTTTGAAACTTGATTCGCTTTAAATACTGCACTTTATGAAAAATTAATGTTGGCTTCCCAAGCCAAAGTAATTAAGAGGGTCATTGTTTGTTATTTGTTTCTCTGTTTCCATGCAGGAGATCTATGGCTATGATCTATGTCGCTGGAAATTGGTGCTAGTTACTGTAGGAGTGATCTGTTCTGGTGGCTTGCTTCTCCTCCTCCTCTACTGGATGCCTCAGTGGCGTGTGAAAGCAACATGCAAAAGGACTACGCTTAAAGACTGTGAAGTGGTTCTGCTGAGAACAACTGTAAGTCTATAGGAGGGTGCGCTTCTCCCAGTTTGCAGTTGTTTTGCATCCCTCTTGCTGCTTGCTAAAATACACAAATCCTTGCCTGCAATGTAGACATGATTTTATTTTACAGCACTGCAGATCTGTGCGCCTTGGTACTGTATGTAGCTTTGCTGCCCATATGGGAAGACTGACAGCTGTTTGTAGAGGATATAGCAAAAAGATAGTCTTTGCTTTTGGATTTGATGCTGTTCTCATCAAAAGTTATGGAACAGACACCTTGTTCATATAACCTGATAACGTGGTTTTCAGGTTTTCCCTCCCTTGTTCAGCAGATATATTTGTTGAATTAAGGTGTAACTGTGGACCCAAGTGTGGTTTGATTTCAAGTGATTTTCTTCCTCCACAATTGCAGTGTACAGTCCCTGGTTATGATCTTGTGTTAAGTCCTCAGTTATTTGAAGTTGCAGGGTGGGTGCAGCTGAATGCATAGGAATCCCATAGTTCCTTCTACTACAGAACAACTATATTAAATTGTGAAGGGCTGAAGATGTCAAAATTCAAGTAACAAGACTCATTGTTTAAAAAAAAACAAAACAAAAACCAACACACCTTTCAGTACAAAAAAAATATGCTTTTTAGAATTGTGGAAAGAAAATGTACTCTTAAGGTAGCTGATAATAACTTGGGATATCTTCTGTAGTTGTGTATGGGCTCTGCTAATCTGTCGTCTGTTGTTGACGCATTTAGCTACAGCTATTGTAGTAAAATGCTGTTTCATCCAATTCATTTTTTCCCCTTTCTTTAAGGATGAATTCAAGATATGGTTTTGTGCAAAGGTTTGCATTACGCCTTCTTTGGGAGCCAATCCTTTACAGAATCCTAACCCTATTGTACACAAGGTTTCAAATGGCCATGCTGTTCATTTCTCTGAATCTGCTCCAGAAGAGAATAAAAATTATTTGAAAAAATATTTGCCTGTAAGTAAACCTGCAATACTACACTTGGTAATTTTCAAAGTATCTCAGTTAGTATCTAGAGTAAACACACACAATACAGTACAGGTGAGCTGCTACTTTTGTCTAAAAGGCTAACTCATTCTTTGGGTGGAGCACAAATCTTTTCCTCAATGTCTTGGTTTCGGCTGGGATAGAGTTAATTTTCTTCCTAGTAGCTGACACAGTGCTGTGTTTTGGATTTAGTTTGAGAATAATGCTGATAACACACTGATGTTGTAGTTGTTGCTAGGTAGTGCTTACTCTACTCAAGGACTTTTCAGCTTCCTGTGCTCTGCCAGGTGCACAA